CGCCAAAAATACATTTACAGTAGTCGAAAAACTGAAACTCATCCTGAAACAATCAGCAACACAGCCTTTAGGCTATCAGGCTATAATGATGAAGACAGCTTCACGGCAAAGCACCAGAGTACAGCTCCCGACTCGGTTCGGTCGTTCTCGCAATCGACGTGAAGAATCTCCACGCTACAACTCGCGATGCACTCGATGATAACCTCAACAATGCACACTCTCGATGCACCAACTCACGATACACAGTCTAGACACTGTCGCGATGCACTAACTCGCGATACACTGAGGAGACACTCTCACGATGCACTCGACCAGCTCAACACCACACTCACTATCAACTCGATAGATTGCTACTCGTACAGGCAGGGTTTATATAGCTTTTGGTCTGCCTTCGAGAACATTCTGGACCAAACCGGTAAGAATTCGTTCTAGAAGGTTTTTTTATGTTTGTCATATCTCCAATTTTGTCGCCAAATGGGCGATTTCGCGCGTAATTTGGCAACCCTGCCTCTTTTTTCAATTTTATGGCAACCCGCTTTGTGGGGAACAATCTTACCGTAGTTGGACACATTTCTTAGCAATATTTTTAATCGGGGGCAAGCCCACCAGAAGAGCGGGTTGCGGCCAAAGCAGAATTTATGTGTTCTATGTACACCTGAAAAAAAATATAAAACATTTTAGTATGAATGAAATCAGTTATGTTTACACCTGAAAATTTTTTTAATTGAAATCTGTAATGATATTTCATATTTAAATGAAAAACAGAAAAACATTTTTTAAATCCACAGTTTTTAAGAAAATTTCTAAAACCTTCGCTATTAAAAAAGAGAAAAAGTGACGAAGGAATAAACGGACCGCGGGATTCCATCAAAAATTTTCTCCTAGCTCTGTTTAGAAAACACGAATGGCAATTTTAAAATTTCACCTCGTACGCGCTTCGATGCAGCACGCTGAACAGCAATGAAGTTCAGCGGAAATTAGCATTTTCAGAGTTTTTAATTAATAGCTTGGGTGATTAAAGTCGTACGAATATGAGAATGATCGAAATTGTTCCCCAGGAATTTTTGGAATCCGGAGGTACCTCTCTCGAAATTCAACTCCCCGCCGTTCCAGAGGCATGTTTCAAACAAAGATACAGACGCGCACAAATTTTAATAGCATTAATGTTTTTCACTTTAAAATAATTTGTAGGCAAAATGATATGAAGAATGGAAATAGTAACATTTAAAAATAAATTTTCGCGTTAAGTTGGGTAAATTGCTATCTTTGTTACAATCTAAAGTAGAAGAACTCCTACCGACTTGGAAAAGTGACAAATTTCATGACCAATATGATTCACCAAGAATATCATATGTCTGACATGCTAAATGTAACTTAGGTTTACCAAAAGAAAGTAAATTTCGAGTTGTAATTCCACATCTTTAACAAATAGTGTTTGTTTTCTAAAAGCCAGCGTGACTATTTCACAAATTTACAGCGGAGCATAATTATGAATGAAAGCTTGTAAGTATTGCGTTGTAGTCAAGGTTAAGCAAACAGAAAAATTTTTTACTTATTTGCTAACAAGACCAGTAATGAAGGGAAAAGAATTACGTAACTCAACCGTTTCAACTTCTAATCAACTGTCATGCGTTTTTATGAATTGAAACACTGTTCTTCTTGATGTATTTAGTCCTCTGTATTTGAAATAGCTGAGCTGTGCTGCTCGCAGAAAAGAATTTCTTGTCAAGCGTATATAATTTATTTTTTCTCACTTTCTGCATTTTTGAATGACAAGACTTACCGAATGTTATTATTCGTTGCAGCATGAAGATCCTATCAGTTAAAATCACAAACTGGCAGCAATTAACTTAGGTTTATTGTCTACAAGGTGTCCCATAAATATTGGTACAAACTTTAAGGACAGGTAAGGCACGTCAAAAGGATGGAGAATTGCAAAGCAACATATGAAAGCAAACGTCGCTTTCATATGTTGCTTTGCAATCTTTCATCTTCGTTGCTTTGGAATCTTTCGTCGCTTTCATCTTACGCCGCTAAGTGTGATGCTGTTCACTTGCGCTGTTTACAATGTTTGGTCTGGTTTGGACTGCTTTAGTGGGGCCTTTACTTATTACCATCACCTATGATATCAGCATATTATCTCGTCGTTATGGAACAGGCTTAATTCACCCTGTGAGACGCAGCATGTGATCAAAACATGGTAGGGTGACTCCACATTATGGAAGATGTTTTGGGAGACATTTGGGTGTGTTGTTTGGTCACCGATGGATTGGGCATGGAGGATCCGTTGCCTTGCCCCTATGCTCTCCGGATTTGAGCAGCCGTGATTTCTTTCTTTGGGGAGCACCTGAAGCTGTTGCGTGTTACACCTGTCGCGTCTGAGATGGATCTGGTTGTAAAAATCATCTGCGCTGCTGAAGAATATTCGCTTTCAGCTAATCTGACTGGTTGGCCAACGGGAAGATCTCTCAGCTCTCTGTGCATGAGACAGAGCCTGCTGGCGAAATATTTTTTCCTAGTTTCGTAAAATATCCCTGGTGCGCAAGCGCAACAAATCGCTGAGTGAAACTGTTTGGTCTGGAATCGTCACGTTCAAACTATTGCTGAAAAAAACACGTTTCTAAGACACATTTATAAATATGTTTCTTATAGCGTTGGTATGTATGATGATCCCATTATGTTTCTCGGTTTTGAAAATCTAATAGTGTCTAAAATAGAATTCCGTGTTTATAACGACATTAAAGAACATTTGGCTGATATACGTAAAATTAGACAAAATAACAACCTTGTGTTAAGGATTTTAATTAAATCTATGTCGATTTCGAGGGCTAGCAGATACAGGTCCTTTTCCATCAGGAGAAAGGAATTTCTTTGCTCTTACTTTTTCAACTCTTGTGGCAGATTTAATATTCGAAAAGCATCCCTCATTGGATGAGAACTTGCCAATGTAAAATTTTAAACTGGGTTTGAACATCCTGAGTTTGAAGTAGATGATTTCAGGAACATTTTCTAGGCCAAAAAAAAAAAATCAACTGACATTTTTTGCTCCTGAAGAAGAGGGAGCTGTGTTTGGTCGCCTCAAAATCTATAGAGTTATTTAAAATCTTCCTCACACTAAGATTTTTTTTTCTTTGGGCCTAAATTTAAATAGGCCTAAAGGGAAATTGAGTAAAATTGAAATTATGATGTTTAGCGACTTAATTCCTCACTTGACAACATTTCTGTGTAACTTAGCAATTTTTATCATGTATTTTAAACTTATTTCACGATTTTACTTCAATTTAAGAAATTTGTTCTATAATATTTTAATCATATTAACCGACTTGTTGATCCCAGTAAACGATTTGTTTTCCATGTTTTCGTATAGAAACGGGCGAGACTTCGGCAATTCGATAACAATATTCGAACGATAACATTGACCAAGGTCACATTAAGACGTGTCTACTGTAACATGAAGCTGTGCAAAATTCATATGTAGAATTACACATCGATAAAAACATATGTATAGGATAGCAGCTTCCTAAAACATTTATCTCGGCTTTTTTGAAATCAGCATGATGTCTACCTGCAGCTGTTCCTAGCTCAATGGAAAAAGTACTGCTGTGATTAGCATTCAAAGCAGAACTAGTTCCATGACGTTTCATTATCAGATCCTGAGCAAAATTCATGGCAAGTATGGAAATTGTCCTTAAAAAGTTTTAGCTGCTTATCTGAAGAAATAAGAATGAACATGAGTTTTAATTATAACTTTCCTTTACTTTTCTTTTTAACTTTCCTTTGAAAGAACGGAACATTTTTGAAGATGAGGAACAGGGGTATTATAAATTCAATTAACAGCTGCAGCTGTCTAACTTAATGGTATATTTCATGCCGTGCATCATATGATAAAAGACCATAAACATGGCTACTGCCGAAAACATCGCAATTATACTTTTCGAGCAAGAAATGAACAAAATTTTAATGAAGTACATAAAATTATATTTAGCAATTGAATTTACGTGAGAGATTTTTATACATGGAGGCCTCAGGAAATTATTTTCTATCTATACCCTTGCATTGAGAGTTTGTAATTCCCAATACCTTAATCTACGTATATGCTGTTTCATTCTTTTATCAAGGCTGATTAGTGATTAAGGGGTGCAGTCGCTGAACACTGGTAGTTCGACCCGCCCTTAAAACTTCACAAACGAGCTGGCTGCACGGCATTCGTACTTTTTTTCTAGTTCGTTCCGTGTTTCGAACCCCGGCGAATCGGCTGGCTGCATGGCCATTTTCATGATTTTTCCCCATGTGTAACGTGTATATGAGCCAGTTTCCCTTAGAAAGTCCTCCACCTAGGCATTTCCTTACCTTAGGCAGATAGCTTTCGAAAGCTTTGCCATATTCAAATAAACCAAACCAAACCAAACCAACCATATTTCTTCCCATGTGTAACGTCGATACTGGCCAGTTTCCCACGGAAAATCATCCATGAAGGCACTCCTTCGCTTAGGTAGGTAGCGATTCCTCGTGTACTTTGTCATGTTAAGATAAACCGAATCATTCCTTTGTTAATGTACTGCTCAGCAGTTAAATCTATTCCAGCATGATTTTCAAAGTGTGATTCAAGAGCGTAGGGTTAGGTAATTTTTCGGATTATTCTGGTTCATAAATTATTATACGGAAGGAATAGATGCACTTACAAACTGTTAATAAATATTATTAACTCTAAAACTGCCAACTGTACAGTGAAATAAAATACTATATGTGCATGTTCTTATGAGCTTGCAGGTGATGTGCATTCATAAAGACTGTATTTTTAGCCTATTTATAAACAGCGAATTTTCTGGAAACAACGTATTAAAATATAAAAGATTTAAAAAAATAAATAAATAAATAAATAAAAAAGGAGAAGAAGAAGAGACAGAGCTTTTGAAGTATTTCAGTTGATTTTAATTTGTTAAAACAATGTCTGTTTTGGCTGCGTCAGATTACTTTATTTTTTTTTTCTTCTATTGCAGTGTTTCACAGCCGAGGACATTTTAAAAGATGTTCCTAAAGATGGCAACCACCCTGAGCAAAGATTACGGAGAATATTCACTTTATTAATGGGGAAAATATTCCAAGGTATGTTTTAAAAGTTTTTTTTTTTTTTTTAATTTGAAATGGACTCGTCTGAAAAATATTTAGTTTTTGTCGGTTTTACAAAATACCAACGATTGTTTATCATATTTGACGGCATTTATCGCATAATGATATACCAGATCTAAAAACATAATAGAAATCAAGTAATAAGACTTGTGAAATGTTTCTTTTTTCATTCATAAGAAATCTCTTTTTTGTTTAGCTCAGAAGGGCTGTTAAACTCTCGAAACACGATTTTGCGTTCTTTCACTTTTCATTCGAATCTCCTACTATTCGGAAAGGCATAATACTGAATCTGTCTGGTATTAATTAACAAAATTAATATTTAAAAGCAATAGTACAGTAGCGATACAGCACTAACTATATTATTTTATTATTTTCTTACTTATTAATCTGATTGATTTACATTAGAATACATGAAATTCATGATATGTCCAATTAAAAACATTCAAATTTTTATAGAAATGTACTACATATCGTTGCATTTTTTTCTTGTTACACCAGTTGTTACGTTATTTCCTTCACGTTCGTACGGGGTTCGTGTGAATTTGGAGTGAATAACGACGACAGCACTTGATGGAATATCGAAACACACTTTATTTAGCCAATATTAATCAGGACAGCTCCAAAATCATATTTTACACTCTTCGAAGGACTACTTTAAACACGCTGGAACAATCAGCGACACAGCCTTCAAGTTATCAGGCTATCATGGTCAAAATAGCTTCACTGCAAAGCACCAGAGTACAGCTCCCGACTCTACTCGGTCCTTCTCGGAACTCCACGTACTCTCGAGACTCTCCACGCTACAACTCGCGATGAACTCGACGACACACAGAGCACAGCTCCCGACTCTTCAGTTCAGTCGTTCCTGGAGCTCAACACGCTCTCTCGACGATGCACTAACCGCAATACACTAAGAGACTCCTTCGGTGCACTCGACGACCCACTCGGTACTCGCTGCCCGGCTGTCAACTCGATCGACTCCTCGGACTGACTAACTCGAGACACACTATATCGCTCTCTAGACGAGGCACACTCTGACTGCGAGCCAGTAGGGTTTATATAGCTTTCGGCTTGTGTTCGAGAACATTCTGGGTGAAAACGGTAAGAATTCGTTCCAGAAGGTTCTGCATTCGTCCATGGCATATCGCCAATTTTGTCGCCAAATGTGGCAACCCTGCCTTTCTTTGCTATTTTATGGCAACCCTAAACCTGCGGAAAAGCTATCTTACGGCGCCTGTACATTTCGTAACAATATTTTTTCATTTTTAAATATACAGAAGATTTAGAAAATTCTCATGTTAGTTTAAATGCATATTCATCTATTCTATAAAGTATTCTATATAGTATATATATATATATATTCTATAAAATGTTTCGCTGTTTCACCTGGGCCATTTCTGTCGATTATCCCTACTGATATTAAACTTTATAAGAGCTCTTTTGGACGCTCGTTAAAATCTGAACCCTTTCAAATTTTTTTTAATATTTTTATTACTTTTTTTAATTTTATTTGTTTTTAAAATTTTATTATTTAAGGGCGCTTTTTTAGGGGATGTATGGCGCCTAAATGTGGCGACTTCTTTTCCTTGGCGCTTCTGCTACCAATAAAACCGACAAGTGTACCAAATATTTTACTTTTTTAAAAATACACATTGTTGGTTCAAAACAATACCTTATAATGTATTCTGTATTACGATTTCATAAGTATAAAGTTTATGAAACAATGATGACTGGAAGATGTATCTATTTTTCTATTTTAGGTTATTGTATTGATGTTGGAGAATCGGTAACAGACTTCTTGGACGATATTTTTCACCATTATGGCGACACATGTTCCACTTACATGAATCTAGATGGTAAATATGCTCATAATACGTGTTTTTTGGTTCACCTTTCAGTTCGGAGTACGAGATTGGCTTTGGCTATTGTCCATGTTTTTGGATATTGTTGGCGACAAATTTTCTCTTTTAGCATTGAAGCAGCTTACTATATTTCAGTGATTAGCATCTTTACAACTGTCGCCAAATAAGTATTTCGTCAAAGGTCGCCAACCTCTTATTCCCAGCTGATAAATTCTTTATTTCTTTGCATCACAAGCTTTAAGTTTTTAAAGATACCGTCATAATCAAAACGTATTGTTAATGATTCGTTTAAAATATGCATTGCAAAAAATCCCTTGCACGCTATTTCAGAATTTATCAAGTCTTTTATGAATGCTTAGTGAGAACCCATACTGCATTTCTTTTTATTGTTTGCAAATTAGTTCGTTTTCGGTTATTTCTTTGGTACTTACGTACTATTCCGACGACCAGGAAACGTTGGCTGATGCGATGAAAGCTAGCGAAGATCCCACCAATGTTTCACCAATCGTTTTCCCAGAATTCTAAAGAAACTGATTCCTCTTTATTTAATAAACAATGAATATTCAACCCGCTTTGTTTTTGCGCTTCGTAAAAAGGCTTTTGTCGATTTCAGCTATTTTGTATGGGTCTCAATTTATTACTGTTTTGTCGGCGATATTTAACTGATCATTAATCCACACGGTACTTTTCCGTTTTGCCGGTGCAGGCGATAAAGTCGCCAATAATGGTACAACTGATGCCAAGCGGAATATCCTCGCTGGTAACCTTGTGCACCTCATTTTCAAAACAAAATTGCAGCCATTTCTAATCGGATTGATTGTACTGAATACTTTCAATACTGGAATACAATTACATAAAATTTTTAGCAAATAGTTCAATTTTATGCCCTAATCCCATTCGTGGTAATTAAGTCAATTAGGATGCAATCACACCGCTCACCCGAAGGCGAAAATATAGAAAAGGCAAAGTCAAGGGTTAAATTCATCAATTCTAATAAGAATGCACTAGCGAAGTAAAGCACTGCGGTTTTACGTAATTTCTGAGTAAGCTATTCGTACGAATTGAAATAATTCTTGCATTTACACTTGTATTCCAAATTAAGATTTAACTTGAAATTAATGTAGATAATAACTGACAGAATTAGATTTTTGTAGCATAGTTTACGAGAGATGAGATCAATTGGGGTCACGTGTTATGAACCGATGAATCAGGATGATGAACCATGAAAGCATAGTACATTCTTAAATTAATGTCTTTTTACAAATTTATTGTCTTTGTTTATTGTATTTTTACAAAATTTTAAACGATATTAAAATGTTTAAGCCTTCAAAATAAAAATTTCTTAGAACTAACATTTGTTAACATTTTTTATGTGTATACTGTATGTTGTCGCCAATGAAGTGTGCTTGGCAAGATTTGCGCCAGCGAAACAGATAAGTACCATCCATACTTTTTTTTTAATGGTAGTATCCTATGACTTGAAAATAATTCACTGTTTATTGTTCTGTAGAAGGCAGGTCCCAAATTTTCATCATTTATTTTTTTCCAAAATGCAAGAAAAATACATCAGTAACTTTTAATTTATGACCGCCTAGCACCACAGGTCCGGGGTTTCATCCTCGGGCTTGGACTCAGCCTTTCATTTCTTATGTGGTTCGATAAAATGAGTACCAAGTTCGCTTGGGAACCAAACACCGGGGATCCTGCGACAAGCTGACTACTTGTCCAGAGCATATGCTGATGCACTCCGGGGCCCAAGGTCAAGAAAGCAGTAAAAGGGCACCGCAGGCCGTGGCCCACTGAGGCTGTTGCGCCACTGAGTTTAGTTTAACTTTTAATTTATATCCTTGCTCGTAACAAAACAAAACGAGGCTTATCAAATATCAATCGCGGTAGCATCAAACTAAAGCGCAGGTGCATGAGCGTAATGTTACATCACTCTCATCCATAACTGGCGCTAAACTGCGCTGCTTGCCGACAGTTTCCGATTGACGGGAAAATAAGTAAGTGTCATTTCTTTTAATTGGTACCTTTTTAATGATAGAATTTTCGCCTTGGAGATGTTATTATTATGTGAGTTATTGATTAAGAGTTTCTGAACAAATTATTTTATTACAAGTATTATGGTGATGATATTATTTTTCAACAAGAAGGTTTAAATTAGAGGGAAAAATATATATCAGAAAAAATGTGAAGTCTTATGTTTAAATATTTAGTACAAGATCTATGTAAATATCTTTAAAAAATATGTTCGGAAACAAATTTCAGCCTTTGTAGAATTTTTGCTTTGGAGATTTCTCAAAATGCTCTCAAAAATTAAATTTTTGTTTTCTCAGTGCAAATTCTATTAGACTGTTGCACGAAACCGTTCAATTATTAAAAGCAACAATTTTTTTGGTGGTATAAATTTTTAAGGAAGGCAGAAAATTCATCGAAAATGAAACACGCTCGTACGGAAATCAAACTTTTTGTATTTTATTTTTTATAATGTGTATAAAATTTTCAGAATTTTTGTCTCATTTTTATATTTAAAAAAGCCACATTTTGATGCTTTAAATATTCAGTTGTAAGAACATAGCGTGTTTCTTCGTGTATTCTCCCCCTAGCGTTTAGCACCAGGTTCTGAAAATTTTAGAAATATTTGCATCATTTTCCCCTTCCTCGGTGCGTTCAGAGAATCAGCTCCCTTAAATTTTTAAATAGAAAAATAAAAATAATGAATAATAAAAATAATATTTTTTTAAATCTTCTGTCCACGAAGTGATTGTTTTCGTCTTATTTACAAAAACAGATCCTCGCAAACTACCTGCGAAGGTCACGACGAAATTTCCCTTCTCACTATTGAACTTTGTGCTAGCCTAATACAAGAACCGGCTCATCACTGTGAAGCAATTGTCATTTAGTCTTCGATTTTCTCAGTCAGCTTTCCATTCACTCTTATTATTTATGGATGATTTGAGCTTAAAGAATAGCAAAGGCAACCATAAGAACGGGTGAGATTCAAATTTCAGAGAAACAGAAGTAAAGATATCTTATTAGATATTGTAATGTTAATATTATTATTTATTCTTATTGGATTGTAGGTTTCTTTTTAAAAAATAATATTGTGATAGTTACTTCGAATTTATCCATGACTAATTTTCATTTGTTACTTTCTTTACTGTAACCGCGTTCTTCGGAAATTAAATGATTCGTATAAGTTTTCCTTCTCAGTTTTTGGACGATAAAGTTAGTAAGAAAAGGAAAGATACGCGAGGAATTACGTTGTTCATTAAGGTCATTAAGGTGTATTATGTTTACTACCGGGAATTTAGAACAGATTTGCTTCAGAAATTTTTATTTAATTTCAATTATATTTTTAGTTTCGAAAGATGGCTTTTCAAATTATAGTGAAGTTTCACATCATGAAGAAATTCTAACAGGATATTTGTTCATGACATTTTTTCTGTACATAATATTTCCAAAATCAACTAACTAATTTATAAAATAGTTCTTATAAAAGGCATTCAAATTTATAAATCTTGTGAAATTTTGAAAGAATATTCTGCTTTAAATTTTTTTAAATACTTTTTAGGTCTGAAAAGAATGATGGAAGACCTTCAGAACGTTGGTCACCGACATGATGACGATCACGATCACCACCATTCCCACCAACACGATGGCACTCACGACGCATCCCATCACCATGAGTGTGAGCATATCGGTGGATACACTCCTCACTTCCATAATCATAATCATGATCACTCCGCACATATGCATGATGCTCCATACGATCACAAGCACTATCACGGCGATCACGATCACTCCTTAAATTATGATCGTGATCAAAATGATCATGATATTGCGGAAAAAAATAAAAACCATTACGACACAGAGAATAAAGCAACACAATCAAGTGAGGCTACATCTTCTAAGATTCCATCGCAATACGAAGATTCTACGATTCCTTCAACGGACGGTAACAGTAGTGCAACACTTCAAGCTCCAAAAGGTAGTCCTACTGTATATGCTAAAGCTGTGGATTTGAAAAGTATAGAGAATTCAGAAGACATTATTTCTGTAACGATAGATCCACGAATTCTGCCGAATGGAACTTCAGCTGGTACACCAAATCTAGAAGAAGAGCAAAATAAAAGTATAAGAAGAGCCCAAAGATCTGCAAACCGGTCACTGACGTCCAAAGAGTTGAGAAATACTGAAGATTTTCACAACCCAGCATCATCGCTCAGGAGCGATTTTTCACATCAAGAAGAGAAATCTGGTGTTAATTCTCCTAATGAAGCTTCACTAGACGAAGTGAAGAAAGTGTATTTGCTTCAAAATGATGGGAATAACAAGAACATTGACTTGCCATTAAGCGGCACACCTCATCACTTTGCAAGTCTTGCTACCAAGGTGGGAAAGTTTCACTTATTTCTTTGTTTATTACTTCTTTTTCTTTGTTTATTACGTCTTCGTCTTAGTTTTTTTATTTATTACGATCATTTCCAATTTTTAAATTATCCTTTCCATGAATCAGAAAATTTTTTATTAATTTTTCAACGCCTTCTCTTTTTTCTAAATGATGAGCAACGTCTTTGAAATATAGGATGCATACTTTTTTGAATTTAACTTCTTGTAACTTACTTTTTCTGGTTATAGTGTCTAAGTGCCGAAGATTTAATCCTGAAGTTTGGACATCAAGAAAACACGTCTCTCACTAAACACGACTTTTTGGAGTTATGTCCAGCTTTAATCCAGCAGATCGTAAGTGGAGTATGCTCTGAGAGTATTCAACCACCATCTGTGTTACCTTCTCGCTCTGAAGGTAAGATTTTTGAATTTTTTTAAATCCCAAGTTTATCCTGCGAATGTTTTAAACTATCTTTTTAACGGACGTTTAAGACCTTATAATTTTAACCTGAAGAAAGGAAATAAAATTAGGATTGTTAGCTAATTTTAATTGATCAAGGCGAAGGCAAGCTATCACACTTGTTTGGTGATTCCAAAATCCGTTAACGTAGAGGGGGAATCAAATGAAGATTATTAATTTATTTTTAATGGATGCAGTCTGTTACACCCATTTAGTGATTCCAAATTCGTTAACCTGGAAAGGAGAAATCAAGTAGGTTTTCAATCATCAAGTCAAAGCCATCCTGTTGTTGGTTCCAAAAACTGCTTACCTGTAGGCAGGAAATCAAATTAAAATTGTTAGTTGATTTTAATGAATACAAAACCACCCTGTCATACCTATTTGGTGATTCCAAAACCCGTTAACCTGAAAGAGAGTATTCCAATCAGGATTGTTTGTTTTTTTTTTTTTTTAATTTTTTTTATTTTAATCGATACAAAACCACCTTGTCATACCTATTTGGTAATTCTAAAATCTCTTTACCTGGAGGAGGAGATTCAAATCAGGATTGTTAGTTGGTTTTAATCGATTAAGGCGAAGCCACTATGTTACGCCTGTTTGGTGATTCTTTAATCCGTGTCCACCATGTTGTTCCCTGAGAACTGCAAAGAGGTGAAAATGAATCTGATCGAAACTAATTAGCGGATGATTTGCCATTCTGAAACCGAAAAATTGCATCAAATTTTGCAGTCATGGGCAAAATGAGTCTCATGCTTAGACAAAATCTTCAATCGCCATCAGAGCTGGATGAACCATTAAGCAAAATAAGCACTTGCTCAGGCCATCAAAGAAAAGTGGTATCACAAAAAGGTACCCAGAGAACCACCCTGTCATACCTATTTGGTGATTCCAAAACCCGTTAACCTGAAAGAAAGTATTCCAATCAGGATTTTTTTTTTAATTTTTTTTATTTTAATCGATACAAAACCACCTTGTCATACCTATTTGGTAATTCTAAAATCTCTTTACCTGGAGGAGGAGATTCAAATCAGGATTGTTAGTTGGTTTTAATCGATTAAGGCGAAGCCACTATGTTACGCCTGTTTGGTGATTCTTTAATCCGTGTCCACCAAGATGTTCCCTGAGAACTGCAAAGAGGTGAAAATGACTTAAAATCTGATCGAAACTAATTAGCGGATGATTTGCCATTCTGAAACCGAAAAATTGCATCAAATTTTGCAGTCATGGGCAAAATGAGTCTCATGCTTAGACAAATTCTTCAATCGCCATGAGAGCTGGATTAACCATTAAGCAAAATAAGCACTTGCTCAGGCCATCAAAGAAAAGTGGCATCACAAAAAGGTACCCAGAGACACGACAAAAATTTTTCCTTGCTGGTTTTACGATGGAATGTATGGTATCGTGCAGTTAAACCAAGACTGAGAGAGAAGGAATAGGGAAAATGGAACGTAAATGTATATGGTGTCGCCAAAATATTTTGAGTGCTTAAGCCTCTGAAAGTTATAATAGTTGCGGTTGTAATATTGTTATTATTGAGACAATCTCTTAAGTATGTTGGCATCATAGTTGATTATTCATAGTTATAATTGTTGTAAGATATGTAGAACAAATTTTCAGACTATAGCAGTAGATGAACTTTTATCTTTATTGACACCACTACTATTGAATCTACTGAACTACTGTTGACTCTACAATTATTGAAGCTGTCGCTAATACTACAATCGTTCATTCTGCTATTATTAACCGTTTGTATTAGAGGCCTTTTCGCCCAGGCGAACCAGTAACTCAGACGATTTTTCGCATATTTGTGAATTTCTTATAACTAACTTAAAATGATTTCACAGAAATCCAATGGCTCATTTATGTCCGAAAATACTTTCGGTTCTGTGGCTCTTTCGTCGCATAGAAACAATATTCTTTTCGTATTTCGTTGGATTCTATGCACGTTTCTGAATTTCCTGCCTCTTCTGCGGAATAACTGTCGCTTTCCCAATCATTATCCATTACCCTGATTTTTCACCTTCTTATACCTCTTACTTCATGGCTATCTTCATCACTCCTTTCTATCGTCTATGTGCATAGACGAATTTCATTCTTCATCAACGAAAAATCGAAGTAATCTTCACTTAAACTGATTCCTCCATCGTATTCCATTTTATTGGACTCCATAACTTTGAAAATAATATTCTTATTGCTACCTGTCGAATTGGAACTAAACGCGTATAAAACATTAAATTTAAAAACATATTTAAAATTAAAGCTTGACAGTTGTTTTATACGCATGTATTGTTGAATACACTCGTGAAGCGATATTGCCCAAACAAAACCTAAATAAATATCGTTACCGGTCGAATTATTACATCATACCGAATGGTGATCGAGAGTCACTCTCAAGTTACCCCATCAAATCAATTAATGACCAAGAATCATCTCTCGAGTGCAAAGGGTTAAATCTATTGCTATGAAAACTATTTTAGACGACTTTGGGCAGACAGTTACCTTTTAGCACCTATGGATTATGATGAGGTTAGATCAACAATGAAGATTCTGATGACAACAATTATAGAATATGACAATATGCCAAAATTTTACCTATCGAAATCTATCAGCGACATATTATTATATGCACATTCAGTGCAAAGTTGAATTTGCACTAGCGAATATATTTTGTACCAGTGAATATTTTTTCCTGATTATGTTACTCATGCGGTCTATCTGTCCTGCTGGTCTTCGTCGTTGGTGGTGGTGACCGGTAGATGTTTAATTTAGAACGCATTATTCCATTAGGTTCTTCACGTCGGGTCGAAAGCCATTCTCAGAAAGAAAAATGTCAGCCATTAAACGTAATGTATAGTACGCTATTCTAAATGAGTTTTGTTGTTTAATTCATAACCCTTGGAAGTGCAAAACTTTACGTATTATGAATACGTGTTTCAAGTTGATAAATCTTCTCAAGCTAATTTTTATGAAAAATTCATTTTAACATTTTCTCATTTTCCATTCTATGACGGGTCTGGGAAGTTAGCTTTAATTAATAATTGCTTCACTAAGACTATAAACAAAATTTAAATGATGCATTAGCTGTTTTTATGTCTGCTCTAACCTACTCTGGGTCAAATTTCTTAGACTGCGCCACTCAAACTCTATTTTTAAATATATATATATAATTTATTTACTAAAGAAATATTGCTTATATTATCTCCGAAGATTAATTTTAGTAGAATTATCTAAAAATATTTGAATCCATAGTAAGTTTAATTCCTAAAATTGTTTTAAAGTAACTTGAATGTAAATTGTTAAAAATGTTTAACGGGGACTTGAATTAAATCATGAGTAACAAAATTTCAATTGTAAAAAGAAATTAAATTAAAAGCAAGTAATCATTGCCATTGATCGGAAATTAGTTGACTTTTCAAGGGGAACAAACCAACTCCCGTTCAATGAACAATAATAAAGAAATAAATACGAAGGTGTTTCGTCCTTTACTCAAGTAATAAGGCGATGCCAAACTGGCAATTTAAGTTAGGCCAAATATTTCCGTGAATTGAAGGGATGAAGAACCAATGCAGGGCACTAAAGAACTCATTCTGATTAAGCATTTTCGCTAATTCAATTTCGAGTGAAAAACAATTTTTGCAGTAAAATGATAAATTACTCGAGTAATTGTCCCCCGACATCCTCGTGTTTATGCATTTTAATTCAAAACCATTTGTAAAAATTAAACATTGGAAATTGGCATTATGAAAAAGAACTCAAAGTAAATTGAAATAAACATTAGAAAATTACGAAATATAAGAAATATAATGCAATGTTTGCAAAAAACAAATCAAAAAATCAACAAATAAAATTTTAATTTAAATTTAAAATATATATAATAAGAAAAGAGAATGTACCTGAAGATATAAAAGGCCAGAAAAAGCATTAATTAACTTACGTTCTTTCTAGTGAGAAGTGTTTTCTTCGCGTTTTACTCAGAAGGGTTGCGTTTCCGAAATTCTTTATCGGCAGCGGGAGCTTTGAATTATAACAGTCGGCGAAACTTGTGCGAAGTAATTTATGGGAGAGGGAGTGACTAGGAATGCTTGAGGGACGTATGTTGTGGAGTTCTTATTTGAGTGAAACTGTCTGTTAAAATTTTTGAAAATACTAGTGAATGGAAATTAATTAATTTCTGGCTAATTCTCGTGTCGTAACCAAGAAGATATTAAGAAAAGGAAAAAAGGAATTTTCAATGTCAAAGAGCTATTTGACAGACTAAAGATTATAAAATAGGCCCATTTTTTTAGTAACAGCATAAGTCTGAAGACAATTAGCTTTTTACATTATATACAGCTTTGTAATTACACTATGTACAAATCCTTTAACTGATAGTCATTCAACTTAAACGGCCTTCTCAGGTTTAGGAACAAATTATCATATCCCTATCACTTAAATGATTTAGAGTGAGCATTTAACGCCTGCTCTTTTAAGGCAATGGTAAATAAATTGATTAGGTATTAGATTATTTTTGAGAATTTTAATAAGGAGCAAAATTTCGCGTGTAGATCTATTGTATCTGTGCAGATATTTTTAATTCGTTGTATTTGATTTATTATTGTTAATTACTTTTTTGGATATGTTGGAATTCCAATTTATTAATTTGTTAGTATTGAAATTGAAGTTTCTTGTTTTGTCAAAAAGTAAAATTTTTTTGTAGTTAATGATTTGAAGATCGAGATAGTCTATGCTATTTTGTGAATTATTAGTTTTATTAAGTGTAAGGCAATTTGGATAAATTTCGGAGTATTCAATTTTATTAAAATTATTAATTGGAAAAAGATCATCAATATATCTGCAAGTGTGCTTGTAGTAATTTAAATCTTGTGGTTGTAGATTTTTTTGGAAGTTAAATTCTGTGATAAATAAAAAGAATTATACAGAGCGAGGTACTGGAATGGGACCTTATTGGAAGACCT